TGTGTTTCTGCCTTAGTTTTTCCTCCTGTGTCACACAGCTTCATAGATTAAACAACCCACAGATAATTGTAGAGATATAACCACAGACTTTCTATGAGCCTGTACTAAGTCTTAAGGACAAATATAATACTGTGAAATAGTCCCCAATCTCGAGGTCCTTAGATCTGTTAGAATTGTGCCTCAGGACAGGGTAGGACTGACATGACTTTTTTTTTTTTTTTTACGTTTTCTTTTATAGAGGTGTAATTGACATATAACATCCTGTAAATTTAAGGTATATAACATTGATTTGATACATTTATATTGCAATATGATTCACATTGTAGCATTCTGTTGAGTCACATCATTATCATTTCTTCTAATGGTAGAGTCTGTTTCTCTAACACGCTACCTGTGTGGAAACTTCTCTCTCCCCAGCCCACCCTTCACCCTCTTCCCAGCAGCCTCTTCCCCTTTTGCCAATTCCACTCCATTTGTCTTTACTTTCCCATTTACTAAATTATGGTCTCTCTGAACTAGACTGGGCATTAAAGATCAGCTAGTTTAGTGGTTTTCAAGATGTTTTTTGATCCTCTAGGGGCGCCTGGGTGGCTCAGTTGGTTAAGCCACTGCCTTCGGCTCAGGTCATGATCCTGGAGTCCCGGGATCGAGTCCCGCATCGGGCTCCCTGCTCAGCGGGGAGCCTGCTTCGCCCTCTGACCCTCCCCCCTCTCATGCTCTCTCTCTCTATCTCATTCTGTCTCTCAAAATAAATAAATAAAATCTTAAAAAAAAAAATGTTTTTTGATCCTCTAAACCATCTTCCCACAGAAGACCTTACATAAAATGCCCATGATACAAAGTTGACAAAGTGTCCCTGCTCCAAGAAGAGAAACAGAGGATGCCATGCTTCTCCCACACCACCTTCAGTTGAAAACCCTAACAACCCCTGCCCATAAAGGGTCCCTTGGCAAAGTCCAAGGGATCCCCAGCCAAAGCCAACACCCTCATTTGGCAGGTGAAGAAGCTGAAGCCCAGAAATGGGCAGAGAACATATCCAAGTCACAGCCAACACCTCGGCATCCCAATTCCCAGAGCTGGAGCCCTCCCATGCCTGTCCTTTCTTTTCCTTACCACACGGTTTCAAAATCTTCTGGCCATGAGGAATCCCCTTAAAGTCCGGGGGCTAAAATCATTCCCAGTTATGCAAAAACTACCTTCCATTGCCAAAGCGACATCCTAACCCTCAGGACTGGAAACATTCTGCAGCCACTTGACCTTTTCTCAAAGACAGAGAGAAGAAAAAGGCAACGACAGGCTTCTGAACTTATGAGCGCAATAAACTGGACCCATCCCGGCATCCCTGTGACCATTTCAGGAGGGCTACCACTCCAAGAAAGCCGCTGCGGACAGTGCAGTGGAATTTAACAGTGCTGACGTGAACAAAAACAAGTTCATGGTCCAGGGTGGACTTTGATATGACCTGTTGGTGCGGGGGGACAGGATGATGTGCTGTCCCTTCTGAGGGAACAGCTCGATGCTGATGGGTCAGGACCCCTCTCCTGCCTCCCTGCTCCTTCCCACTGCTGTCAGACATCCTGGCAGGTGAATGGTCATCCCTCTTTCCTGTGTACTACAATAATAGGGACACGTATAAAGCTTCCCCTAGCGTTTCAAAGGTAACACAATTGAAGGACGTTGCATCCTAATTGCCAGCCCTCTATCCTGGCCGTGACAAATGGCAACAGTCCTAAATGTAAGGAGTGAAGCAGGGTGAGGAAGCCAGGCTGGGATTTCTGTAAAAACACTCCAGACCAAACAGTTCCCATCTAAGGAATCTGGTTTTCCATAGTGATTTTTCCAGGCTACCTAAAACTATTTTTATAGTTTTAACTATAACCTAACTTTAACCGACTGAGCCACCCGGGCGCCCAATGCTCTTTCATTGGAGACAAACTTACTGTCTTCAGTCAAGGACAACAGCCCCACTTGGTTTAATGGAAAAGAGAGTAAACCCTAGCTGCTCTTTTTCAGGTAATAATAATAATAATAATACCTAACATGTATTGGACTCTCGTGTCATCGTTGTGCTAAGCGTAGTAAATGAATTGAGTCAGTGTGTGCCTAAAGGCGGGAGAGAGACCATTAATTCAATTTTTCTGGACAAACAGAGATCAACAATTTTGTGCTAAGGGGCATAGGACGAGTCCAAAAGGTAACCAAGTTATTTTAATGGTCGACATCTCTTCATGATCATAACCATGGCAGTAAGTGGTTGTTTGGACAAATTTTAAGAGCTCAAATCCTGGCTCTACCATTTACTAACCCTGTGACCTTGGACAAGATACTTGACCTCTGTCTGCGTCAGTATCTTCACTGGTAAAGTGGCCACTGATAATATGGTAGGACCTACTTCAGTGTCTTGTCAAGGGATTAAATGAGTTGTATATGTAAGAAACTAAGAACAGCACCAGCATATAGCAAGTTCTCAATAAATTCAAGTTATTTGTTTCATGTTTCCACAAAATGCTTCCACAGACATTATTACCTCCTGACTAGCCTCCAGATCCTTTGACTCTCAGCCCAGGCATTTGGAAGAAATTCAGACTATTGGGTAAGGTCCAGCATCCTTTATTGAACACACCCCCGGAGGTTACTCTACTAGGTATGGTTTTCTCAGCCCAGTCCTGTCTTTTTGCTCCGTGCTCTGGAAAAGCACTCTGCAAAAGGCTCCAGGAAGCTTCCTCCGCTCTGGCAGAAGCTCTCACCCAGGAAGCATGAAACTTCCCTCATCCCTTACACAAGCAGAAGGCAGAATTATGCACATTGTTGCTTAAGCCCTGGTAGTCCTTATCTCCCCACTTCTACCACCACTGGACATTCTTTAGAAAAGCAATTCTAGCCCCAGAGAATTAAGCTGTGTCATTTCCCCTGGTAAAACCTTTAGATGTCTTAGAAAGCAGCATCAAAAAACTGTTCATGGGCTCTGGTCACCATTCCTCCCCCACGCACTAGGCAGGGAAAGGAGTTGACATTTTTGGAGAACCCCATATGTGTGAGGCTAGGTTACTATGATGCACACAGGTAAGGGCATGGAGCTGTAGAGGCAGAAGCAACGTATCCGGGCACCACAGTCGATAAAAGCTTTCATTATACACTTAGCAGCTCTATGATCTTCCTCAACCTTTCTGAGCTGAGTTTTGTCATCGGCAAACTGGGATAATAACTGTACACACCCCATAAGGGTCGTAAACAATGAGTCAATTCATTTACTATGCTTAGCACAATGATGGACACGAGAGTCCAATACATGTTAGGTATTATTATTATTATTATTACCTGAAAAAGAGCAGCTAGGGTTTACTCTCTTTTCCATTAAACCAAGTGGGGCTGTTGTCCTTGACTGAAGACAGTAAGTTTGTCTCCAATGAAAGAGCATTGGGCGCCTGGGTGGCTCAGTCGGTTAAGCGTCTGCCTTTGGCTCAGGTCATGATCCCAGAGTCCTGGGATCGAGTTCCATGTCAGGCTCCCTGCAGGGAGCCTGCTTCTCCCTCTGCCTGGCACTCTTCCTGCTTGTGTTCTCTCTTTCACTCTCTCTCAAATAAATAAAATCTTGAAAAGAAGGGAAAGAAAGAAAGAAAGAGAAAGAAAGAAAGAGAAAGAAAGAAAGAGAAAGAAAGAAAGAAAGAAAGAAAGAAAGAAAGAAAGAAAGAAAGAAAGAAAGAAAGAAAAGAAAAAAGAAAGAAAGCATTAATATCCTCAAGCCAAGTTTACCGTGCGGGGTATGGGGTGGGGGTGAGTGTGAAGACTCCCACCTTCTTTGAGGTGGGAGTAGTTTTATCCAACCTATGATGCAAATTCACTTATATGTCACCACTGAGCAAAGATGATCTAGTCTTTCCTTGAATCCTTTCATTGACAAGGTGCTCAATGAAAACCAACCCACTCCATTTTGAACACCTTTTATAATTAGAAAGTGTTCTTTCTCTGTTCCTTCTCCCTCCACCCTCCCTCCACTTCCCACTTTCCCTGTCTCCTCCTTCCTCCTTCCATCTTCCCCTTTCTCTTCTTTTATCCACCCTGCCCTCTGCCTCGACCCCTCTCCCCTCCCAAGCTTGAGAGCCCGAGGTCCCAATCTTTGTCCTGAAGTCACTATCTCAGTCCTGAGGTTCCAGTCTTTGTCCTGAACTCACTATCTCAGTCCTGGAGAGCATGGTAGGTCTTCGGTGTGGCTACTTAGCCAGCTGATGGGAGCTTGGTCTCCACTGGCTATAACAATCCTCCGGATTTTGCAGGGTCTTTTGGAAGCAAAACCTTTTATCTGGGCCTACAGGGCTTGGCCCTCTGGTTCATTACTGTCATCCATCAGTTCGCCCAGTTTCCATTATTAACCCATCTAGAACCACATGAACCACATTAAACTTGACACGGGTTGATCTGGCGTCCGGAGGCCCAGCTGGCTCTATGGGCAAGCCGTGGAGAAGACTGGGGGCCTGGGAGCGACTCCCCGGAACCCACGCACCTAGGCAGCCCTCGTTGGTTCGAGTCCTCCGCCCAGCAGCACCCTGACGCTACAGCCTGAGCCCCGCCGGCCGGGGCAGGCTCGGGCAGCGCTGTCGCTTTAAGAGAGGGGCGGGGCCCCGGTACTGGCAAGGCAGGGCCGGCCCACAGGCTCCTTTTCCTTTTTGATCCATTCAAAAATTACTCATTGCAAATTCCCGGACCGCTAGGAGCAGAGAAGGAAGGGGGCGGAGGAGAGAGGGCTGCTGCAGGCGCCGCGCTGGGGGCACCCGGGGGCCCGAGCAGCTGACGGCTGGTCCGGCCCAAGCAGCCCGCGGGCCGCTCTGGCTCCGGTGGCCTCACCAGGAAGCGTCAGTCTCGACTCTGGGGAAGCTCCGAGCGCCGCCTCCGTCGCCGCCGCCGCCTCCCGCCCGGCGCCCGGTCCCCGAGCCCCCTCCCCTGCTCCCTCCCGGACGCTCGTGGCTCGGGCGCTTTCCCCGGCGATGGCTGGCCGCTGAGCCATGGCTCAGTACGGCCACCCCGGCCCGCTCGGCATGGCTGCGAGAGAGGAGCTGTACAGCAAAGTCACCCCGCGGAGGAGCCGCCAGCAGCGCCCGGGCACCATCAAGCATGGATCGGCGCTGGACGTGCTGCTCTCCATGGGCTTCCCCAGAGCCCGCGCGTAAGTGGCAGGACTCGCGCCCCTCGCCGCCCCCCGCGGCCGGCCCTCGGCTTCGCTCCGGCTCGCCTCCCCGCGCCGACCCCCGCCCCGCGGGCGCACACCCACCCCCTTCCCGGGGTTGGCCTTCGCAGCGGTCAAGCCCGGGCGTCTGGGCCGCAGCTCGGATGACCTTTGTTCAGCGCGGCGCCGCCGGCTGCTGCTGCTGTCGTCGGAGCGGCGGCGGCGGCTTCCATGTTACGGGCGTGTCATCTGCATTCCCGCGGCCGGGCTCTGTGTGTGCGCGTGCGGT